AAACTTGATTAATTTCTATAAAAAGATTTTAATTACTATTTATTAATTACAATAGGAAGATCCAGAGCTTGTCCAAGGAAGGGCAGGACAAAAGAAGGAACAATTTTGGCAGATCCCAGTTTCCAGAGAATAAAATAAAAGCCAAAAATAGAATACTCTCATGTGGGACCAGGTTTTTTTTTTCTTTACAGTGAGGGTCACACTGTAAAAAGCCCGGAGGCCACTCAAGGTAGAGTGTTACATTAAGAGGCAGTTGATACAGATAGGAGGTGGGAGATAATGGTTAACCCTAGATTTGAACAGGTTAAAATTGTAGTGATCAGAGAAACATCATCTTAGTGTTAAATAATAGTTTAGCAGACTATTATTTTTAAGGAGAATGGTATCTGTGCTTGGACTTTCTGAGGTTGACCTTTGAGGTCAGATGGAAGACAAAATAAGGTAGTCAACTTTGATTAGCTGAACTAGTGTGGGAATGATGCATTAAAAACATTTTTCAGAGCGTTGGTTCTTACACATCAAGCAATGTAGACGTATTCACTTTTGCATTTGGAATGACTCCCCAGTGGAGGAGGAACAACCCCCACTGGATAGATAGAACATGTCAACATGAATATTAATAAAATAAATAAGTTAAAATTCTCTGTGTTGAATTTCTTTTATCTCTGGACTCAAAACAACTAACAATCATCAGCCAAGAGAGAAGAATACAACATTATTATTGAATTGACATTGTCACCAAAGAGCTCCCCAGCATGAGGGGGCTATATAATATTGAGAGTCGGTTCTACATTGTACAGGCTCACATGAAGAAGCTGTTCAAGTGGAACTTACTTCTCACCAATGGAATACTGAGGGAATTAGGGTGATTTTCTACAATGTATGTGACATAGCGGATCATAGCCATGAAGGTTAAACCTAGTGTGATCAAAGAATATAGTTCATCCAAGCATTTTCCAGAGACGTAGTGCTAGAGCAGTGATAGGTTTGATTCATCTTAATTCATCCTGTCTGTGAGAGAGCAGTTGGAGGATGAATAATCTAGGAGACAACTGGTCTAGTTAGCTTAGTGCAGGACCTGTGTAGATCCATTATTTCTTATTAAAACTTTTCAGAAGATTCTCGGATATATTTTCTTTCTAATTTCTTCTATGTGCTATATCCCTTCCTTTCTGGACGTTGGCAATCATGGCTCTCCACAATTTCCTGTCTTTTGTAGCTCTTAGTAAATTTTGTCTTTTGCTATTTCTCCTAAACCCTGTTCAGCTACTATAAATAAAATAAAATGAAAAATTAAATTTAAAATATAAAATATTTCAGTATCCCTTCTCCTTCATGCACATGTGTAATCACATCAACATAAAAATAACCAAAATGTGATGAAGTCCTGAAGGATGAAACATCCTGCAAAACAAGTCCTTTTCACTTTGTCACAGATTTTCCTACAATTTTTCTTGATATAGCTAATCAAGCTTACTTCTTTATGTGCCAGGTCCCTTCTCAATATAGAGTGTCATGGCTCTCCACAACTTCCTGTTTATGTTAAATATTCAAATGTTTCTTTCAACAATTCATGCTCTGGGATTCCTTGCCAAAATTTCGAACTGAATTTTCTTCTTTCCAAAACTGACTGCAAAAAAATGGCTCCAATTCTTGGTATTAGAAATTTGTGTAGAGGGAAATATTTCTGATGTGTGTACCTCCAAAACACCCCATCCACTTCAGATTTTTCCCTGTTTACCTTTCATTTCTGTTGCCGAGGCGTTAAGACTTTTCTAAGTAAGTGAATATGAACAAGCATCCAGGCAATAAGACCAACAGGCATTACTACTCTTCAGTTAGGTCAAAACTGGGGTAAGGGTTGCAGCACATTGTGCCTGGGGTAACCGTGATCTGTCACCTTGTGGGAACCATTCAATTGCACCTAAAGCAGAATGGTTTCAGGCCATTCCCTTCATAGCATAGTACTCGTTAATATAATAATTCATCATTCCCTCTTTTACATATATATATAAAAACACACACACACACACACACACACACATATATATATATATATATATACACACACACACACATAAACACATGCATATATATACACATAAAACACACACACACACACACACACATATATATATATATAACATATGTATATATAAACATATATATAAAACATGGATATATACTATATACACACACACACACACACAAACAAATATATATATATATATATATATACCTCTATGATATATATATATATACACCTCTATGTGCATATATATATATATATATATATACATATATGTACATATAATATATATATATATATACACCTCTATGTGCATATATATATATATATATATATATATATATATATATATACACCTCTATGTGCATATATATATATATATATATATATACATCTATGTGCATATATATATATATATATATATATATATATGTATATATATATATATATATATATATATATATACCTCTATGTGCATATATATATATATATATATATATATGTGCATATATATATATATATATATATATATATGTGCATATATATATATATATATATATATATATATATATATATATATATATATATATATATATATATGTGCATATATATATATATATATATATATATATACTATATGCATATATATATATATATATATATATATATATATATATATGTATATATATATATATATATATATATATATATATATATATACCTATATATATATATATATATATATATATATATATCTATATATATATATATATATATATATATATATACCTCTATGTGCATATATATATATATATATATATATACCTCTATGTGCATATATATATATATATATATATATATATATATATATATATATATATATATATATATATATATATATATATATATATATATATATTCCCGTGTGTGTGTTATATACTAAGAATAAATATACATTTGTTCCTTACCATTTAATGCAACTCTGAATTTTTGTAACAATTGTCGGACTCAAATTCTCTGTTCTTCATATATACTTTAGTACTGTTATTTTACATTGACCATTGTTTAATTATTGCTATCAGCACTCACTATATGCTATTATATATATATATATATATATATATATATATATATATGTGTGTTTCTGTGTGTGTTGCTTGTAAAAAGTTCAATCTGATCCACTTCCCAAAATGAAATAAAATGACCAAGTATCAGATTTTGTGAAAGAATCTCTTTTTGCCCAGGGAATCAAATTACCCTCATTCCCTTCATATTCCATTGGTGAGGAGGAAGTTCCACTCCCAACAGCTTTTTCCTAAGAACTATTATGCTATAAAACAAACTCTTATATGGATGCTTCTATGAACACCATTACATTTTTGTCCCCTTCAATTCATTGATTATCGATCTTATATATCCTCATAACTCTCACATTCTACTCTTACATTTATAACATTCACCTTATTCAGTAACCCTCTACCTTAAGTGGCTCCTGTGCCTTGTATTGAGTGAACACTAGCAAGTTAAAAATACTGTGGATGATTTAGTGATTAAAACACTTTCTAAATGTTTCTGTCTTAGTAAATTATTTTCTCTTTTAATTAGAGTAGCATTTTTTAAAATCAAAATTTTGGTCAGTTTTGTTATCATTAGCAACTCATGCATTTAATGTATTGTTATGTAAAAAGATCCCTTTTGTGTTTATATAATCTTTTATTTAAATTCCTTGAGGTTTCTCCTATGTATTTCTTTGTGGCAATTATTACAGGTAATAGAGTAAATCCCTCTAAGTTTTAGGTTATTATTTTGTTTTGTATTTATTGTATTGTGGTATTCTATGACACATGATCAGTAGTCAACTTCCACCTGTCTCTTATTTTACTATACATTTTATTTCTCTTCTACTTAATATATGCAAAAATGTACAATCCTATTTACCAGTTCACTAAGCCTCCTAAGATGAAGATGAAGACAATAGTCCGAATAATGCAAATAATGTACATAATACCTCATCTCAGAAATATAGACAGACTCTGAAGGAAATGTTTATAAATTTAATGTTTTGCTTATAAACTTCATCAGAAACTTTTGGAAAATGAAAAATGTTAAATCTATAAACTTTTCTTGTTTATTCCTGAACAATATATATATATATATATATATATATATATATATATATATCCAAATGAGAGAACAGATGGAGTAAAAAATCCACTGTTTGTAGCATTCACTTAAAAAAAAGTGCTCAATACAAAGTAGAGCAATATAATTTATTATTTTCATTATAAGAGATTATAATAAAAACATGGTGAAATCGCTACATAAAAGCTTTCATGTCTCAATACTATGATTGTACTTCTTCAGACAATGGTAAGTAACTGGTGATTAAATGATTACTTACCATTGCCTGAAGAAGTACAATCATAGTATTGAAACATGAAAGCTTTTATGTAGCTTATTTCAAAATGTTTTTACTATAATCTCTTATAATAAAAATATAATATATATTTAAAATATTACAAACACCAACCTTTTCTGCTACTGCAGTTTCCATTAATGAAGGTTTCCTCACTGCCTGTGAAAACCATGGTGGTGAAAAATGTTGATGTTTATAAAATCTTAAATATTAACTGGCTCTGCCCTTTTGATATTTTGAATGTGTATTGAGCACTTTTTAGAAAATATGTTTCCTAGACAGGATAAACCTTGTCTGTAAAAAGTTTTATTGTGTACACATATACACACACAGTGACATGATCTACTGGTTAATGCAGAAAATGGTGAGCAATAATGGAAACTCAGCAATTTTCTGCATTTGCAGAATTTCAATTATTACTTTAATTTTTAAAAAAAAGTCAATTTTAGATTGAAGTATTTTCAATTTGAATGTTTTGCATTCACTTCGTTATCTGGGATTTTTTTTTTTTTATTTCTTTCCCCAAAAATTTTACTTTGAAAAAAGAAAATGAACCTAAAATATCCATCCACTGGAAATGTCAATAAAGAGATAAACTCTAGTAGAGAGTATACGGAAGAAAGTAGGAGAGGCAATAGAAGGAACAAAAGTGAAAGGGAAGTCAATAAAAGGAAGATAAAAATTAAGTGTATTTGAGAGAGAGAGAGAGAAAGCAGAATGAAAAGAGGGAACAAGATAACAGAAGAAAAATGGAAAGAGAAAGAGAAACAATAAAAAGAATGAAAGTAAAGGGAAAAGAGGGAAAGAGATACTAGAATGAAGATGGCAAGTAATAATATGTGAGAGAGAGAAAGAGAAACAGTGAGGCTGAGGGAAGTGAAAGAAGGAAAGATATAATAGAGAATATAGCAAGTAATATGTAAAAGAGGGAGAAAGAGAAACGATAAAGAGGTTGAGAGATGAAGGAAAAGAGGGAAAGAGATAATAGAGTATATAGCAATATGTAAAAGAGAGAGAAAGAGAAACAAAGAGAATGAAAGCAGAAGGAAGAGAGAGAAAGAGAATGAAAGCAGAAGGAAGAGAGAGAAAGAGAGAGAAAGAGAATGAAAGCAGATGGAAGAGAGAGAAAGAGAAACAAAGAGAATGAAAGCAGAAGGAAGAGAGAGAGAGAAAGAGAATGAAAGCAGAAGGAAGAGAGAGAAAGAGAATGAAAACAGAAGGAAGAGAGAGAAAGAGAAACAAAGAGAATGAAAGCAGAAGGAAGAGAGAGAAAGAGAATGAAAGCAGAAGGAAGAGAGAGAAAGAGAAACAAAGAGAATGAAAGCAGAAGGAAGAGAGAGAAAGAGAATGAAAGCAGAAGGAAGAGAGAGAAAGAGAATGAAAGCAGAAGGAAGAGAGAGAAAGAGAGAGAAAGAGAATGAAAGCAGAAGGAAGAGAGAGAAAGGGAATGAAAGCAAAAGGAAGAGAGAGAGGGAGAGAGAGAAAGAGAATGAAAGCAGAAGGAAGAGAGAGAGAAAGAGAATGAAAGCAGAAGGAAGAGAGAAAGAGAATGAAAGCAGAAGGAAGAGAGAAAGAGAATGAAAGCAGAGGGAAGAGAAAGAGAATGAAAGCAGAAGGAAGAGAGAGAAAGAGAAACAAAGAGAATGAAAGCAGAAGGAAGAGAGAGAGAGAAAGAGAATGAAAGCAGAAGGAAGAGAGAGAGAAAGAGAATGAAAGCAAAAGGAAGAGAGAGAGAAAGAGAATGAAAGCAAAAGGAAGAGAGAGAGAGAGAAAGAGAATGAAAGCAGAAGGAAGAGAGAGAGAGAATGAAAGCAGAAGGAAGAGAGAGAGAAAGAGAATGAAAACAGAAGGAAGAGAAAGAGAATGAAAACAGAAGGAAGAGAAAGAGAATGAAAGCAGATGGAAAAGAGAGAGAATGAAAGCAGAAGGAAGAGAGAGAGAAAGAGAATGAAAGCAGAAGGAAGAGAGAGTGAAAGAGAATGAAAGCAGAAGGAAGAGTGAAAGAGAATGAAAGCAGAAGGAAGAGAGAAAGAGAATTAAAGCAGAAGGAAGAGAGAAAGAGAATGAAAGCAGATGGAAGAGAGAGAGAAAGAGATAGAATGAAGATAGCAAGTAATAATATGTAAAAGAGAGAGAGAGAGAAAAACAATAAAGAGGATGAGAGAAGAAGTAAAAGAGGGAAAGAGATAATGATGAGCTGCTTTCACTGGTTCCCAGACTCCATGAAATCAAGTGCCCTATGAGGCTGGCATCCCGCTCCCACCCTTACACTATAGAAACTTTTAAATGTAGCCGTCTCTTCTACTCCAAGAGCTTCATACCTCTCACCTGAGGAACACCCTTCCCAATTACTGTTTCCCTGAGAGCTATAATCTCCAACTATTCAAATGTAATGTCAATTGACATCTCCAGTTATCTTGATCTTTTCCACTATCCCTCTCCTCATCCTTTCTTCCATCACTCCTATCTGCTCTTGCTCCAAATCTTTTGCAACCCCCTGCATCCTAGTGGCTTCACGCCTTGCTCGGGGTGTAATGCTTAAAAAAAAAATAGAGTATTTAGCAATATGTAAAAGAAAGAGAAACAATAAAGAGAATGAAAGCAGAGGGAAGAGAGAGAGAATGAACGCAGAGGGAAAGAGATAGAATGAAGATAGCAAGTAATAATATGTAAAAGAGAGAGAGAGAGAAAGAAAAACAATAAAAAGGAAGAGAGAAGAAGTGAAAGAGATAATAGAGTATATAGCAATATGTAAAAGAGAGAGAAAGAGAAACAAAGAGAATGAAAGCAGAAGGAAGAGAGAAAGAGAAACAAAGAGAATGAAAGCAGAAGGAAGAGAGAGAAAGAGAGAGAAAGAGAATGAAAGCAGAAGGAAGAGAGAGAAAGAGAGAGAAAGAGAATGAAAGCAGAAGGAAGAGAGAGAAAGAGAATGAAAGCAGAAGGAAGAGAGAGAAAGAGAGAGAAAAGAGAATGAAAGCAGAAGGAAGAGAGAGAAAGAGAATGAAAGAGAAGGAAGAGAGAGAAAGAGAGAGAATGAAAGAAAGAAGGAAGAGAGAGAAAGAGAGAGGAAGAGAGAAATGAAAGCAGAAGGAAGAGAGAGAAAGAGAATGAAAGCAGAAGGAAGAGAGAGAAAGAGAGAGAAAGAGAATGAAAGCAGAAGGAAGAGAGAGAAAGAGAGAGAAAGAGAATGAAAGCAGAAGGAAGAGAGAGAAAGAGAATGAAAGCAGAAGGAAGAGAGAGAAAGAAAGAGAATGAAAGCAGAAGGAAGAGAGAGAAAGAGAGAGAAAGAGAATGAAAGCAGAAGGAAGAGAGAGAAAGAGAATGAAAGCAGAAGGAAGAGAGAGAAAGAGAATGAAAGCAGAAGGAAGAGAGAGAAAGAGAATGAAAGCAGAAGGAAGAGAGAGAAAGAGAGAGAAAGAGAATGAAAGCAGAAGGAAGAGAGAGAAAGAGAATGAAAGCAGAAGGAAGAGAGAGAGAATGAAAGCAGAGGGAAAGAGATAGAATGAAGATAGCAAGTAATAATATGTAAAAGAGTGAGAGAAAGAAAAACAATAAAAAGGAAGAGAGAAGAAGTGAAAGAGATAGAGTATATAGCAATATGTAAAAGAGAGAGAAAGAGAAACAAAGAGAATGAAAGCAGAAGGAAGAGAGAGAAAGAGAATGAAAGCAGGAGGAAGAGAGAAAGAGAGAGAAAGAGAAGCAACAAAGAGACTGAAAGCAGGCTCAGTGGATAAAAGCAAAGGTGAGCGCAATAAACTTGGAGAGTTGAGTTACTAAAGGAAAATAACTGAAACAGAGAAACGTGGAACTAGAATAATCTAACCCGGTGGATGAAATAAAGGTTCAGTTTGAAATTCCAGTGTATATCCTCTGAAGAAGGCCAGAGTGTACAATGGCCGAAACGTCATGAATATGACAATAAAGATGAGAACAATAGTCCGAACAATGTAAATAGTTACAACACCCTATCTCCAAAATATAAACAGTTAACCAAGAAAATAAAAAATGGCAAAGAGAGAAAGACATAAAAGAAATTAGATTCTTGAAGCAGAAAGAAAAATGAGAAAGGGAGGGACAGAGAGAGAGAGAGAGAGTGAGAGAGACAGAGAATTAGTATAAGGACAAATGAGGGGAATAAAATTGCAAGAAAGATAATATAAAAAAAATAATGAAAGATAGTGAATATATGTTTATGGAAAGAGATTAGTGATAGAAAAGCAAGTCAATAATTTAGCTGTCATTATTTATTAAAACTTGCAAATGATTTATTTTCTTAAAGGAAAAAAAAAAGACAGGATTTCCAACACACCAACCATCTATAAATTTAAAGTCACACATATACAGACACACACCCTCTAAATAAAACAGGATCAGCTGGAAAGTTTATAGACTGACCAGGATATAAATGTAAATGTACACACCAGTTGATAGACTAAAACACATGCAAGTGTATCAGAATACAACAGCTGATCGGTCACTTGCTGTATTTTGGTACACTTGCATTTTTTTTTTTAGTCTACTAACTAGTGTGCCTACTTAATCTGCCCATGAACTTTCCAGTCAGCCTTTATATTTTCTACTCCATCTTTTTTCTTTAGTGATCATAATAAGTGTGTCCATTATTTACTTTTACCTATATCTCCCCCTCCTCTCTACTATCTAATCTAAAGTCATAGGAGAGACAATTGAATTAATATTCTTTCCTAGAAGGGAAAGAAAATGAAAAAATGTCCAACCAGAAAAGAAGCCGGATAAAGAAAGACAAAAAGAAAAGAAAAAAATAAGACAAAGTAAAAGAGTAAGAATCCGGTTTATCACTTCACTCTACTTACATAACCTTGTGCCAGACTATGTTACACGTAGTAGATATCTTCACTAATAATTCCATGTTACAAGTTTTATCGAGTCAGAAAAGGTAGAACTTCCTAATAATGGTTATCTTTTCATGTTCTCAGACCGCTTTCCAAAGATAATTAATCCAGATTATATTGTAATTCTTCCAAAGACTGAGTACCTTCAGCAGACACAGAACTTACAAGGAAATATAAATAGTGTTTATTTCCAGAAATTTGTTTAGCATCCATCTTGGGAAAAGATGAGCTAAATATAGATTCAAAACCCTGGGGACAGTAGATCTGTCTCCAGACATTATATTTCTTTTGCTCAAAAAATGAATGGAAAAATTAGAGGATGAATGAACCCATAATCCAGTGCCAAATTCCTTGATAACCATCATTCTGTAAAGAGCTATCCCTTCCATCTCATTTTTATCAGGGTGAGTCAAAACTTACTTTTTCAGGAACTAGTCATAATATTTTATAGAATGTAATATAGAAATGATTTGACCTGATAGATATTTTCTGCCATAAATTGCACCATACAAGTTATAACGATACAATATACAGTACTTACTGGCATCTTTTTTAGGTTGCTTGTGGTTTAGTGTCTCAGTATATGGGTAAGGAGTATGTACTTATGTAGTTTTGAGACAGATTATCATATACCGTATCGAAAATGATTTGAAATACCTTTGGTTGAAGGTATGATTCCACCTCTTCTTCTCCTAACTACGGGTTAAATAGTAAGAATTGTATTAAAAAATAATTATTATCACCTTGTACACCACAATTTACAGTATGTTCTGTATCACACAAAAATAAGAATGATGCCCATCTAGTAAGGACCTAGACAACTAACAATATGTTCCAAGTTGAGTTTTCAAGCCTAAAAACAATCTTTCCAAAACTAGGGGGTCAACTTATATGGCCAGTATAAAATGCAAACCTTTATCATTAAGTTGTAAACAAGTGGGACAGAACTTGTAACAATTGCTATCCACCATTTACCAAGCCTTATCTCCTTGTACACCACAATTTACAGTATGTTCTCTGTCACACAAAAATAAAAATGGTGGCCACCTAGTGAGAACCTAGCGAACTAACAATAAGTTCCAAGATGAGTATGCAAAACTTAGATCTATATTTGGTATCCTAGAGTGAGTGCTGCATTATCTAATATAAAGTGAAGCTTACAAAAAGGAGGGGGAAAGGAAAAAGAGAAAAATAAGGAAAGTTCCACTGATTGATTGACATGAACATAAATACATAAAGGCACTGATCTATTGTTTGGTGTTTAGATACAGGTCGATTCTTTGAGTCTGGGCCTACAGAAGCAGGTGGTTCTTGGTTCCTTGTTTGCATATTGGTTAAATAGGCCACAAAAATAATATTAGACAGTAGAAGAAAGCATAACAATAAATGAGAGAATGAAGGAAAGAATAAATGGCAGTGTCAATGAAACTGCAGAATGAACGGAAAAATGCACAGTTGAAAGATTGATTGATCAATTTGTTTTTTTTTTGTTTTTTTTTTTTACAACTTATCAACCCTTAGTGTAGCATTTCTCAAACTTTTTACCCTTGAATAACCCTTAAAATAAATTACGTGTCTCAAGGGACCCCCTGCGCCAAAACAAAATTATATACCATATCTTTCTCATTTTATTTTCATCATAGTTCACGTGGTAAATATCATAGTATATATTTTTGAATAACTGGTTTAAGGAAAAATTAATACTTTTTTGCCAAATGTTTTGGTAATGTTAAATAAAATACATACTGTTCGTTTATAATACTTCATCAGGGAGTTTTCATTTGCACAAAAAAATTCTAAACTCAAACAAAAAATAAACATAAGTAACCAATATCATATATATATATATATATATATATATAAACAGAACGAAAACAGATAATTTCTGCATCAGGTTTTTGTTTTATTTTTTATCCTTTCTGGCAATGTTGAAAAGACATAAGGTAAATCAAGGTAAAATGTCCTATCAGAGTATTACAATAACCAAGAATATATTGCATGTGTTTAGTAATATTACGGATATGAAATTAAATAAAAAGTCAAAAGTACATTGGATTATCTCATCTGTTCTTGTGGACTTTTTGCAGAACCTTAGGGTTCCAGGGAGCTCTGGCTGAGAAACACTACCTTAGAAGGTTATTTAAAGATGAAATACTCAAGATAATGAAAAATTCTTGGCCTAAGTAATTTTCCCTTCTCAGAAATTTGATATTTTGACCAAGAACTTTTCAGCAGCATTCATACATACATACATACATATACATATATATGTATGCATATATGTACAACCTTGTGCAAATTAATTGAATAATTCTGTTATTATTTACATGTTTTTTGTAACTTTTCCAATGAAACATAACCTAATGCACGTGTTAGTACTTTGTATGTCCATTCCAAAAAGTCATTCCTTGCAGATTCTTGATTTAAATAAGGAGAGTTCCCGTGCCAGGTTAGTACTTTGATTTGCTCTCTGGTAAGGCTTGCCCCTGTGTTTGTGCAGCATTACAAGTTTTTCTACACTTTCTTGGAGTAACATCCATCGCTGACAATGGCTGTAGGACAACTAATCGACAGTTGAGACAATAGTGTCTGGGCATGATAAAAATCTGATGCAATCATGGATGACGTAGAATTTTTATAGGCCAAACAAATTTCATCATACACCTTGAAAATAAATTCATATTGCTGCACACCACTGCAAATGACGTAATCTGAGGAAAAAAATAGAAATCAATTACACCCTAGACTACTTACATTATTTGAAATATTGTCCTCATCTTTGTCACCATATTTATTACACTCTGGCCTTCTTCAGGTGGTTGGAATGTCAAACTGAACCCTTTATTTCGCCCACTGGGGTAGACTGTTCTAGTTCCACGTGCCATGTTTAATGGATGTCAGTTATCAGTTATCTCCTGTTAATTTCCCTCTCCAAGTTCTCCACTGCCTTAACCGAGTATTGAACTCACACTCTTTGGGTCACGTCACTGGATCTAACTAATGCTTTTTTTATCCACTGTGCTTGATACAGTTACACCCTGTCACTCTAGTGGGTCTAAAACTGACTGTATGGTGAAAGAAAGGAAGCTAAAGTGGTTGTTTCAATTAATTTGCACAAGGATATATATATATATATATATATATATATATATATATATATATATATATACAGTTTTACTAGTCGGGACTATTGTCCTCATCTTTGTCGCCATATTTGTCCTGCGTTTGGTATGTTAATGCGCCTCCGTTTTCAGGTGGTTGGAATTTCAAACTGAACCCTCATTTCTGATCACCCTGTTCAGTTTGAAATTCCAACCACCTGAAGAAGGCCGAGCGCATAAATCTGTTCAGAAACGTGAAAATATGGCGACAAATATGAGGACAATAGTCCGACTAATGTAAATACTGTACAGAATACCTCATCTCAGAAATATAGACAGATATATATATATATATATAATGTTGCAAGTTTTTTAAAAATTAGAGAGAGGCTTACTCGAATTCCAGCCACACTCAGCATGCAAAGGCTCAGAATAAATGCTCCTACAAGTATTCAAAACAACAGAAAAAATACAACTTATTGAATCAAAACATGAAGAAAAATTAAAAACAAATCCCCTTGAAAATAGCTAAAGAACTGGCTGAAAGTGCTTCGGACAATGAACAATATAAACAATTTTTTCACTTCCTTACTCCTTACTTCCCAAATGGGAAAATATAAGAATGCAGGAAAAAGTAAAAAAAAATGAATTAAGTCTTCCTTGTCTGTCATATTTAATGAAAGATTTTAAAAGAAATATTGCGGCCCAAATATACATGCACACACCCACACCCACACATATATATACATATAAATATAAAAGTAAACATTGAAGTCAACACCCAGAGGCGACAGGCTGTTTCATGCTAGATGCAATCATCAGGCTGCCTGATGATTGCGTCTATCATGAAACAGCCTCTGAGTGTTGACTTCAATGTTCACTTTTATATTTACATACGCTCCATCTTTGACATCAAGCACTTTATCCCATAAATATACCACACCTAAACCTATATTTCTTTATATATATATATATATATATATATATATATATATATATATACACACACACACACACACACTCACACACACTTTTCTTAAATCTATATAATATAAGCAATAATAAATAAAAAAACTTACATGTTTCAGGAAATCAAATCCCAATGAAGAAAAAATCTTTGAACCTCCAAGAAGGATAATGGTTTATAACTTGATTTCCTTTGCCTGCATCAAAAGCAGCAGTGACTTAATCTTTCATTTTATATATCGATATATCTATTCATCTATTTATTCATTGAGTCTTGGGTGAAAGAACTTGCATTGAACCTTTTGCCTTGATCATTGTACCAAACACCCACATGATCAAATATTTGATCTGCTTCCCTACAGATGGCAACCTTAAACAAGTTTCTCTGCTAGTTCTGTTCAGTGCTTTTGGCTGTTCATGACCAATCAATTTTTTCATACTCAGGCAGCCTGACAACCTTTTTTTATTTCTTTGACCCTCATGCCTGGCAGATAATTCCGTTTTATTTTTTGGGCAATTTTTTTTATCTTTGAATCAGTCATTCACAACATCACTTCGAATAAGCCAGCAAGTGCCATATTAGAGAGAGCTGGTGTTAGGCAAGTTTCTTAAACTTTTTTTGGTGGCATTTTTCTTTTAATTTCAGTCAGAATAGTGAAGAGTTTAAGGATTGTAGTAGTTATTTTAACCAATTGTCTATTACAGATTTTAAAAGTTAATTGATGTAATGGAATAACCTGTCACCCCCATGAGTGACTACTCTATAGGTAGTAATTACCTATAAGTATCTGTAAGTCAACAGACTACAGAGACTAGCTGAAATCTTTTTGGTTAGATAGTCGAACTCTCTGCCTCTGAGCAGAGAGGAACCTGAATGAGGCTCCCCTGAAGGGCAGTCTCGTGTTTGGGCAGGTAGACTGACCCAGAACCCATTTATGCGGGTTCAAAAAGTGAATATTCTTGGCCAAGTCTACAGGCTCGGAGAACCCACGTTAAACTGGCCTTGTGCCACATGCAACTCTCGTGGGGGGGTAGCTAAATATACTAGCAGAAATCTTTTTCAGCTGCTGGTCAAACTCTCTGCCTCTGAGTAGAGAGGAACCTGGACAAGGCTATGCCGAAGGGCACTCTCGTTCAAGGAGGTTGACCAACCCGATCCTGTTATACGGGTTCTACGGGCATTTTTTGGCCGAGCATGCAGGCTCAGATGACCCATGTCAAACTCTGCCTTGTGCCACATCTACCCTTGTGGGGGAGCTAGTAAATACTGACTAGCTGGGATTTGTTACTCAGCTCTTAGCTGTTGTTGAACTCTTTGCCTTTGGGCAGAGAGCAACCTGGACGAGGCTATGCCAAAAGGCAGTCTCATCCAGGGAGGTAGACAGACCCAAACTCATTTATGTGGGGTTTACAGGGAATTTTTTGGCTGAGCCTACAGTCTCGGATTGTCCCCACCTTAAATTCAGCCTTGTGCCACATCCTACCCTGTGGGGAGGTTGGTAAATATTACTAGCTGGGATCTGTTGAGTACGACTCAGACTTATGCATGAACTACTGACCTTCCAATAGTAGCATTCACTACTGGATTGACTTGTGGCAACCTTGTGCATAACTGTTACCTTTATTCTTATTGTACTGGTTTTTTTACAATAAACATTTACTTATTTTATCCACCTTGTTTTTCAAGTATATATCCCTATTAACACGAAATATAACAAAAATATAGAATAAAGATTATAAATTATTATAATATACAGCTTAATACATGCTAAAAAAACATTCATTATCCTACCTTAAACATTTTTTGTAGCCTTCAGATCTGCAAATCTTTTCATGGCACTTTCTACACCTATCTTCTTTAGAAGATCATTTTCTATTAATAAAATAGTCAAAGAATTTAATCTGTCATGAGTCATGGATGACTGCAAGTATGTTTTTATAAGCTTTAGTTTTGGAAGGTCCCTAACACATGACACGGCAGCATTATGGTGCCATTGACTTTGATGGTGTCCTGGGCAACTACCTGAGTATCTGTAAGGTAATGAACTACAGGAGTCTAGCTGGGATCTGTTGAGTACAACTCAGACTTATGCGAGAACTACCGATCTTCCAATAGTAGCACTCTCTACTGGATTGACTTGCAATGACCTTGTGCATAACTGTTACCTTTATTCTTATTGTACTGGTTTTTTTACAATAAACATTTACTTATTTTATCCACCATGTTTTTCAAGTATTTATTCTTATTAGCATGGAATATAACATTAAAATATGTGTCGACTTTTCAGAGTGCAAAGTCTTTCCATCCAATTTTGTAAATTTTACATATATTTTGGATATTCTTAATTTGGTGTTTGTAGTTCAAATAAGCAAGTAAGAAACAAGGAAGTCTTGAAGAAAATGGCAACAGAAAGAACATTTCTACTCAGAACCAGGAAGAGAGCTGAAATTTCTTGGACACATAATGAGTAAGGAGGGCTTGGAAATTTTGTATACAAATGTTTGTCTGTATTAATATCCAATATTTGAAATTTGGGCTTTTATTTTGATTTCAATTTCTTCTTTGGGCTGTGTCCCTTCAGGACATAGGCGATCACATAGAAGAAGAAGGTGAAGTTGAAATTAATGGATTCTAAGAAAGAGCATAGGGAAATAGTGAGAAGAGCAAAGTATGAAAAAGATAGCAAGAGATGGGGGAAGAGAGAGATGCAAGAGAGAAAAAGAGGAAAAGAGAGAGATGAAAAAGAGAAGGAAAAGAGAGAGATGCATGAGAGAAAAAGAAAGAGAGAGATGCATGAGGGAAAAGAGAGAGAGATGAAAAAGAAGAAAAGAGAGAGATGCAAAGAGAAAAGAGGAAAAGAGAGAGAGATGAAAAGAGAAGGAAAAGAGAGAGATGCAAGAGAGAGAGAGAGAAAAGAAAGGAAAAGAGAGAATGAGAGGAAAAGAGAGAGAGATGAAAAGAGAAGGAAAAGAGAGAGATGCATGAGAGGAAAAGAGGAAAAGAGAGAGAGATGAAAAAGAGAAGGAAAAGAGAGAGATGCATGAGAGAAAAAGAGGAAAAGAGAGAGATGCATGAGAAAAGAGAGAGAGATGAAAAAGAGAAGGAAAAGAGAGAGATGCATGAGAGAAAAAGAGGAAAAGAGAGAGATGCATGAGAGGAAAAGAGAGAGAGATGAAAAAGAGAAGGAAAAGAGAGAGATGCATGAGAGAAAAAGAGGAAAAGAGAGAGAGATGAAAAAGAGAAGGAAAAAGAGAGATGCATGAGAAAAAAGAAAAAGAGAGATGCATGAGAGAAAAAGAGAGAGAGATGAAAAAGAGAAGGAAAAGAGAGAGATGCATGAGAGAAAAAGAGGAAAAGAGAGAGAGATGAAAAAGAGAAGGAAAAGAGAGAGATGCATGAGAGAAAAAGAGGAAAAGAGAGAGAGATGAAAAAGAGAAGGAAAAGAGAGAGAAAAGAAAAAAGAGGAAAAGAGAGAGATGAAAAGAGAAGGAAAAGAGAGAGATGCATGAGAGAAAAGAAAAAGAGAGAGAAAAAGAGAAGGAAAAGAGAGATGATGAGAGAAAAGAGGAAAAGAGAGAGATGAAAAAGAAGGAGAGATGCAAGAGAAAAAGAGGAAAGAGAGAGATGCATGAGAGGAAAGAGAGAGAGAGAGAAGGAAAAGAGAGAGATGCATGAGAAAAAAGGAAAAGAGAGAGAGAAAAAAGAGAAGGAAAAGAGAGAGAGAAGCATGAGAGAAAAGAGGAAAAGAGAGAGAGAAAAAAGAGAAGGAAAAAGAGAGAGAGATGAAGAAAAAAGAGGAAAAGAGAGAGAGATGAAAAAGAGAAGGAAAGAGAGAGATGAAGAGAAAAGAGAAAGAGAGAGAGATGAAAAGAGAAGAAAAGAGAGATGAAAAGAGAAAAAAAGAGAGAGATGCAGGAAAAGAGAGAGATGAAAAAGAGAAAAAAGAGAGAGAGAGATGAAAAGAGAGAGAGAGGAAGGAAAAGAGAGATGCATGAGAGGAAAAGAGAAAAGAGAAAAGAGAGAGAGAAAAGAGAAGAAAAGAGAGAGATGCAGGAAAAGAGAGAGATGAAAAGAGAAGGAAAAGAGAGAGATGCAAGAAGAAAAAGAGAAAAGAGAGAGATGCATGAGAAGAAAAGAGGAAAAGAGAGAAATGAGAGAAGAAAAAGAGGAAAAGAGAGAGATGAGGAAAAGAGAATGAAAAAGAGAAGGAAAAGAGAGAGATGCAAGAGAAAAAGAGGAAAAGAGAGAGATGATGAGAAGAAAAGAGGAAAAGAGAGAGATGAGGAAAAGAGAGAGAGAGATGAAAAAGAGAAGGAAAAGAGAGAGATGCATGAGAGAAAAAGAGGAAAAGGAGAGAGATGAAAAAGAGAAGGAAAAGAGAGAGATGGAAAAAAGAGAAAAGAGAGAGAGATGAAAAAGAGAAGAAAAAGAGAGAGGAGAAAAAAGAGGAAAAGAGAGAGATGAAAAAAGAGAAGGAAAGAGGATGCAAGAGAAAAAAGAGGAAAAAGAGAAGAGAGAGAGATGAAAAGAGAAGAAAAGAGAGAGATGATAGAAAAAAGAGAGAGAAAAAGAGAAGGAAAAGAAGAGAGAGAGAGAAAAAGAGAAAAGAGAGAGAGAGATGAAAAAGAGAGAAAAGAGAGAGATGCAGGAGAAAAAGAAAAAGAGAGAAGATGAAAAAAGAAGGAAAAGAGAGATGCAAGAGGAAAAGGGAGGAAAGAGAAGATGCAAAAGCGAGAAAGAGGAAAAAGAGAGATGATGAAGAAAGGAGAGAGATTGGAGAAAAAAATAGAGATGAAAGGAAAGAGAGATGCAAGAGGGAAAGGATAGACAAAAAAAATAGAGGAAAGAGAGATGCAAAAGAGAAATAGTGGGAGGGAGAGAGAAAAAGAGAGATACAAGAGAGAAATATAGGGAAAGAGAGAGAGAGATACAAACGAGAAAGAGGAATCAGAAATGATGAAGAAGAGGAAGAGATTGGGAAAGAGAGAAAGAACAGAGGACAGCAAAAAAGAAAAGATTAAAGCATGAAAAATGATAGTAAGAGAGGAAAAGAAGGAAAAATATAAAGATGAGAAAGAGGAAAAGATGGTAAAAGAATGATAGAAAGAGAAGAGAGAGGAGCATGATAAAGAGAGATGCAAGAAAGAAAGAGAGGCTGAGAAATTGATGGGGAAAGAGAACAAAGAGAGAAAGAAGATAGGAAAACAGAAAGAAGAGTTTTGCTTGATTTTTACGTCTTATCAACCCTTTGAGTTATTTCAAGCTGAAATTTATTTTGGACAGTAAGAATAATTCTTTTTTTTTTTTGTGATTGAATATCACCATAACAATTTTTTGAGAATAACAATGGCTTTTTTTCAGATACAAGTTAAACTATTTAACCCATAGCATGAGTGATGCAACAAGGAAAGTTAGACTTGAAGACAGAAAGAGAGGGGGAAAACATATGGAAGAGATGCAGGAGAGAAAGAGATGCACAAGAGAAGAGGGGGAGAAAGAGACATACAAAAGAGAAAGAGAGTAGAAGAGAGATTCAAAAGATAAAGAGGGTAACAGAGAGATGCAAGAGAGAAAGTGGTGGGAGAAAGAGAGAGAGATGCAAGAGAAAGATTCAAGATGCACAAGAGAAAGAAGGGGAGATATAAGAGAGAATGAAATAGAATCAAGAGAAAAAGAGGGATAGAGAAAAAAAAACAGCAAGAATAGAAAGTGTATGGGGGATGGAGAAAGAAAGAAAGAGAAAGGTTGATATGGAAAAAGAGAAGTAAAAAAGAGAAAAGGCAAGGCAGTGATATTGATCATTTTGTTTCACATGAAAAAGAAAAGATCAATTTGCACCTGTAAATACCTGCATTAAGCAGCATTTTGTCTTTATTCTCAATTCACTTACTATTCTACACAATATATTTCCACTTACTTCCTCAAACCTTCTCAGTGAAGTTAAAATGAAATTTTTCAGTGTTACCCTCTTCCCGTCGTCTCTTGACGCAAGCAAAGTACCTTTTTTTTTTTTTTTTTTATTCTTCTTAACAATAAGAGCATCATTTGTTCTGCAATGCTTTCTATTGCATTCTCAAAATTTAGATAGAGTTGCTTAGGGTCTGATTTCCATTATTTTCATTTCTTTTTTCTTTTATTTGACATTTTCCCTCATCGTTCATGACTTAATTATCATATAACTGGCTTCATATGGTATTACATAGAAAATATGATAAACAACTATGAAAAGTAAATTAGTAAAAAATAAATAAATATTTACACCATTTAAATCATTCTTTCTATCAGCGAATTCCTTTGCTGAGGGACAATATTTTTTTTTTAATTTTCAACATTTTATGCATATAAACATCTTTTTCTATTTATTATTTTGTTAATATTTTTCTTAAAATTTAAAAAAAAATAGTAATTTTCTTAACAATTTAAGTGATTTATTAGAGAAAAAAATACATTTTTTTTAAAAACTTGAATGTAGTATTTATCAATTTATCTTTTTTATTGAGAAGGAAGAATGAATATTTTTCAGTTCATTCTTAAATACCTTTCAGACACATTTATTATTATTTTTTTTTCAAAATATTCTGTAGAGTGAGTGGTCATTGCTAAATGTAAATAAATAACAGAACTGCCCAGCAAACAGAATTGACCAAATTTGCAATAAGCAATAAAGAGAAAAGAACAGAGCAAAAAATAATATAAAGCAAGCAAACAATGTATGCAAGACAAAGCAACAGTAATATGGCAAAAAAAACAAACATTTTTCACGCTATCTGTAGAGTGAGTGGTCAATTGTTAATATATGGTAGAACATTCCAACACAGAATTGACAAAGTTTGTAATAAGCAATAACAAGAAAAAGAAAAGAACAGGGCAAAAAATAATATAAAGCAAGCAAACAATATATGCAAGGAAAACTAACAGTGCAATGGCAAAACAACAGTGCAATGGCAAAAAGCTCACTAACTAAGAATTGGTATTGACACACATGAGCAAATTTGTATGAACAAATGCAGCATTCTGACTTCAAGACAGACTGAGTCAGATGACACCAAGAACAGGACTATTTTATTGGCTAAGAAGAAATCCCAGCATGCATTTGTGTACTTCTGTCTAGAAATTGGGGAAGCAAATGTGTCATTTCTAGTCAAGAATGGAAACAACTGTTTTGCTATTGAGTCCAACATGCTTACAGCCACAACAATGGTTTAATTATATTGAAATCCAGGACTCTGTACTGACTAGTCTTCCATAAGTTAAACATCTTCATCCACAATGAGCCTTTTTGTTGCATGTGATCAGTGGCAAGAAGCACTGTCATGAAGAAAAATGTCCCCATCTCCATGGCCTGGCAAAAGACAAGACTGTAGTAAACTAATTTTTCACTGCTTAGGGTTTCCATCAACTTTTACCAGTTTTCTTCTGCCAATTTTGTCCTGGGTATGATGATAAACTACATCTGGCAGCAAGGCCTCTGATCAGGAGGTTTTGAGGACTATGGTTGTTTTTTTTGTTTTATTTTTTTTGTTTTTTTTCCCTTAATGGTGTTTCTTTTGTTGCTATACTTCTGTTGAAGTCATTTTTTTTTTTTTGTCATACTCTGTATCGACTAAAACCTCACTTTTAAGACTTCATTCACACCTCACTTGTCCAGCTGTTAATTTTGGTTGGCTTACTGAAATTCTCACAATCTTTCTTTCAGCTCTTTTTTTTTCTGTCTTTGCTCTTAACCCCTTCCCCATCAATTATTTTAGGAAAAACGTTTCATTTTCAGACAAATATTTTTATTTCTTTCTAATAAAGTAACTAAGAAACTGAGGCACCTTGAAGTACCTGAATGGTGGCTAACACCTCTACAAGACATATGAGTTGACAAGTAGACTGGTTTCAAACTCAAGAGGGCATAAAAAAAAAACAATCAAGTTTGATATATAAAAACGTCTGTAGCTGGTTTTTGAAAATGATGTTTTAGGCATGTTTATTCATCCATTTCTGAAAAAGACACTTTTGGTAAAAACATATATACACCTCCATGCCAGAGAAAGGGGTGAATACAAATACCATTATTTTTTATTTGATTATAATTACAATAAAACTGAGGTACCTTAAAGTACCCAAGCAGTACCTAATACCTCTACCAGATATATGAGCTGACAACTGGACTCATTTCAAGCTAAGAAGGGTATAAAAAGAATCAAGATTGACGTATAAACATGTCTGTAGCTGTGTTTTGACATTGTTTTAAATATGTTTATTCATCTGTGTCTGAAAAAGCCATTTTCAGCAAAAACATATATACACATCTACGCTGGGGAAGAAGCTAAATCATTTCCAGCTGTAGTAAATATCTGTTAGGTGGATTGCACATCGTTTCTGGAAATTTCTATCCACCCAGCTATCTCTCTTTGAGTCATATTCTTCTTCAAAGTCACAACTTTCATCATTGTTTCAGCAGAAATTTTAGTCACTAAAGTTTTTTTGCAACATGCTGACATATGTTGAAATTCTCACAGTATTTAGTATTGTTAATTTATTGTGAACATTTTTTGTTGAGATTTACAAACTCTACATTTCATTCAATTTCACAAACCAATTGATGAAATTTGTATAAACCAAATTTTTCAGAAAAATAATTTAACAAATATCCTACTTCACAGTTTAATAATTTCTTTAATTTAATTCACTTTTATAGGACTTCTTGGTGAACAATATTTTTAAGAATTTTTTTTTTCCTTTTTAACAACAAAGAATAAATTCTTAGGATTTTTTACTCTTGAGCATGCAACATATATAACTGGGTATGCATAAATGTTTCTTTCTGGAGACAAATTTCAATTTTTTGAAGCATTTAGCCTTATGATTTGTTTATAGTTTTCCCAACTTGGGGTGAACTGGAAACTGGATTCTTGTATATATAAAAACTTAAAGAAAAGATATGAAAAACAATATTACATTTTTATTAAATAAGTCTTTGTTATTATAATAATTAAATTGATTTTAAAATAGTGAGTGTTTTGTATGTTAAATAAACTTTTAATTTTAAAAAAAAAAATGATTGAAAACTTATTATAGTAAATTACACACCCTAGTAAAACCAACTGTACTTTGTACTCCCTTACTTGTTTGTACTTATACCCAAAATTTGGTTTTGATTGGTCAATGTACAGCTATTTTAGATGGTGTGAGGACACACTAACAGAAGTCACATAACTTTATATATCGATAATTTTAGTGTAATAAAGCAAGTTAATGTTTAACTACAATGACTTGGCAAGATGTTAATAAGATGGAAAAATTCCTACAGAGAACTTTGCATATTATTATGACTTTGCTATTGATTGTCTTTCATTGGCCCAATAGTTTTGCATAGACGTTTTTTCAGCTTCAAGCAATGTATCTTCTGTTACATGGCATCTAGAAACATGCAAGAACTTATTTTCCAATCCTCATAGTCTTCAAACACTACTACTAAAAGCATACTGCTAAATAGTCTTCACTCATTAATAAAATAAATATGTATAATCATTGTATGTAGTTGGACCAAACATTTTTCCTGATAGTGTATATATCTTTAAACTATGATACTGAGCACTTTTATCCTGTAAATATTGCACATCTTGAAATACACACACACACATATATATATATATATATATATATAGTTTTAAGGTATGCTATATTTATGGGATAAAGTGTTCGCTATCAGAGAGCATATGTAAACATAAAAGTGAACATCGAAGCCAACATTCAGAGGCGACAGACTGTTTCAAGCTAACTACAGTCATCAGGCCTGATGACTGCATTTAGCTTGAAACAGTCAGTCGCCTCTAACTGTTGACTTCAATGTTCACTTTTATACATATTTTTATGTTGAGTGTTGACTTCAATGTTAATAAAAAAAAGTAATATTTTTTACTGAGTGTTGACTTCAATGTTCACTTTTATACGTATATTTATATATATATAAAAATACCACACATGCCCCACCTATATTTTTAACTTTTCAAATTTAGTGTCAACTTTTCTTCTGATTAGTTAAGAGAGACACACCCATAAGATCTAAAAATCTGGATTCCCTTCTCCATATTAACTCTTTAATAAGCAAACATATTGTTTTCTATTTTCAAATGTAAGTCATTTTCACCAAAGTTACCAAACATTACCTGATGACGAGATAAAATATTGTCTGAAAACATAAAAATTTCTGTGTCACAATGTAAAATATTTAAAATAAAAATGTCATTAATATATATATATATACATATATATATTTAATGAAAAACAGACCACTTTAAGGTACCATTAAATCTTTAAAAAGAATTTTGGTGAAATAAATTATTGTAATGGTACCTTAAAGTGGTCTGTTTTTTATTAAATATTAACTCTGTTCTTCACATTGAGCTCTCAGGATTTCATCCTCCTTAGTTCTTCATAACTTATATATATGTATATATATATATATATATCCAGGTATATGATTGGTATATACGGAATAAATTCCAATAACCAACAATTACTATTCTTAAAAGAGTGCTCATTACAGAGTAGAGCAAATATCATCCCATCCCTACACACTGAATTCAAATGTATCCAAGTTGTCATGGAGTTAAGAGTAGTCAATCTTAACGTCTATTCCAACATAATTTCAATAAAAACAAAATAAATAGAATAACGTGTATTTTTTCTTTTTTCCTCGGTAACTTTATAATTTTAAACTTAATAGAGATTAAATTTAGATTTTAAAATGGGTAATTTTTTATTTTTAATTTTAATTTCAAATTTTATCATATAATTTAATACTTATTGGTTAGAATAAATTCTATTTTAGTATAACCCCAACTTTAAAACAATTAATAGCTATTATAACCTTTCTTCATTGTCAAGTTTTTTGAATTCTTATATACTTATATTTTGATTGTTCATTCCCGCTTATGTAACAACGTTTCCCCTTGTGAGGGGTGGTTAATTAATTTGAACCTTTTAAAACCCTTTATTCTACATTCAACATCATCACTTTGATAAGCCACCAGAGGTGTTGAAACAAAATGGCTATTTTTGTAGTTATTTTATAACATGTTTGTTATAATTTTTAAATAAATACTTATATATATATATATATATATATATATATATATATATATATACACACACACACACACACACACATATATATATATATATATATATAACACATGACTAAATGTTTAGAATATTTGCTTTCTGACCATGAGACTCATATTCAAATTTTGATGTGGCTGATTGCTTTTTCAAGATGACCTCTTGATTTTTCCATAGTATTTTCATTATCCTTCTGTAGAACCACATTTCTGTTGCTTCCAGTCTCTTCCTTATCTGTAAGGAGATTGTCCAGAATTCACTGTCTTCTTGGAGGCTCAGTGGCAAATAAGTTCTTAAAAGGAAGCATTAATATTATGGCAACAGCAAAATCAATAGTTTGAAGAATATCTTCAAATTCTGACTTGAATTTTATCAAGATTCAAGCACGATTGTTTTTTAATATTATACAGGGGGTGCAAAAAATACCTTCTACATATACCCCCACCCAAAACATTCCTACCATATAATGGTAAGACATTAGCTAGATGAAGACACTAATAGTACTAATGTTTTACCATTATGTAGGAGGTAACATATACAATTATGTATAAGTTGACTTCATGTATAGTACAAACCCTGAATTTTTTTTTTATGAATTTTAACTCCTGCAGAAGAAATTTTCTTGTGTATAGTACAACCAGTCACTGAAAATGCATGATTGGGTATAGCGTGACACCCTATATTCTTGCGTCAAAAATCTTGATTCTAAAAAACCTCAATATATTTGAGTATATACAGTATATGTGGAAGATATTTCTGCCGAACTCTCTATTTTAAGCCTAATTTTATTCAGATATTTTATTCAGGTTATTTTTAAATTTTAATGATTTATATCGAGTTTACTTTTCTTGTTGAATATATATTTTCTAATTGACTTTCTCTGTTTCATTAAATTTTTTCTCATTTTTTTTTTAATTATATTTTTGTTTCACTGGTTAATAATTTCTCTTGCAAAATTATGAAGATAAAAATAACTGAAATAGGCAAATAATAAAAAAAATAACAAATCATACGTTCCACTTGCTTACACAAAAAAAAATTTTTTCCAATATTTTTCCTTATGCATTGTCAGTTATTGAAAAAGTGAGAATGCATCTTCGCTATTTTTAATATATTGGCAATTTTAAGGGATAACATATTTTTTTACTTTTTATTTTGTGATTTTTGAATAAAAATGCATTTTTCCTGATTTCTCACGTGCCTGGCATTGCGTTCATTTTAATTAAAAATTAGCTTTTTCTTGCCTATCTTCTGCTGGTCTGTCAGTCAAATTCTTTATATTTCCTTCCATTTTATAAAAAACAAATTTAATTATAATTATTTAAAATTCTTTTCAAGACACCTTTCATTTTCATCTCTTCTTTATCTCTTGCAATCTCACTTTTTCTCCCTTTCTTTCTCATTTCCTCTTTTTTTCCCCTCATTGATTATCAGTCTTTCTCTTTTACTGTGTCTTCTCTCTCTGTCTTTCTTCTTTTACTCTTTTTCCCCTCTTTGATTATCACTCTCTTTATCTTTCTCTCCTTTTCTTATGTCTTCCTTCTCTCTCTCCATCTTTGCTTGTTTTTCTCATTAATTCTCAGTCTATTTACTTTTCTCTCTTTTTCCTGTCTACTCTCTCACTATTTTTCTTTCTCATTTTGTTCTTTTTTTCCTTTTTGATTTTCAGTCACCTAATCTTCCCCACCTTTTCCAATGTCTTCTTTCTTTTTCCTTTACTCTTTTTTCTCTTCGACTCTCAGTTTATTCACCTTTCTCTCTTTTCCTTATATTTTCTCTCTCTCTTTTCCTTATATTTTCTCTCTCTCTTTCTTTCTCATTTTGCCTTTTTTTCAGTTTCTTTTCTTTAACTTCCCTTAAACTTTTCCAGTGTCTTTTTCTCTTTTTCTTTCTCCATTGCTCTTTTTTCCCCTCTTTGATTATCAGTCTCTTTATCTTTCTCTTCTTTTCCAATGTCTTTTCTCCTCCTTTTTTTCTCCTTCCCTCTTTCATTATCAGTTCCCTTATCCCCCTCTTCTTATATTTATGTTTCTCTCCATTTCCTGTCGACTCTCTCTCGTTCTTTCTCCTTTTACTCATTTTCTCTTTGCCTGTCTGCCTCTTTTTCTTTCTCTCATTTTCCTATGTCCTCTTTCTCTCTTCCTTTTATAGTCACATTTTTACTGTTATTGTAATATTTAGAATATAAAGCTATACTTTTCACTCATCTTTCACATTTTCTCTATCCTCCCCACTTTCTCTCTCTCTCTCTGTCCTCCCCACTTTCTCTCTCTCTGTCCTCCCCACTTTCTCTCTCTCTCTGTCCTCCCCACTTTCTCTCTATCCTCCCCACTTTTCTCTATCCTCCCCACTTTCTCTCTATCCTCCCCACTTTCTCTCTCTCTATCCTCCCCACTTTCTCTCTCTCTATCCTCCCCACTTTCTCTCTCTCTATCCTCCCCACTTTATTCTCTTCTTTATCTCTCACTCACACTTCCTCCCTCTCTTTCTCATTTGCTCTTCATTCTCCTTCACTTTTAGTTTATCTTTTATTTTTTTTCTAGCTTCTCTCTTCATTTCAAAGTCGGTTGTTTTTTTTTTACATGTCATATTTCAAATATAAAATTGTTTATTTCACTCCTCTCTCTTTTTCTTTATTCTCTTCATTATCTCTCTCAGTCGCATTTTCTCTCTCTCTCCTCTATATCTGTCTTTCTCTTTAACCCCCACTACTCTCTCTTCCTCTACTTCACTCTTGCCCTGTCTTTCTCAGAGTATCATTCTCAGTCTCTTCATCATCCTCTTCTGTTTCTTTCTCTCACTTCTTTCCCACATTTTCTCTTTTTTTCTCCCACCCTTTCTCAACTCCTCTCACTCTCACACAATCACTAACTTTGCTAATCAAATCTATTCTCTTTGGTAAAAGAATCTAAAAAAAAAAAACAACATAAAAATGACTTAAAAATAAAGTGAAATAAAAACAAGAATTAAAATTGTAATTTAAGAAAATGGAAATTGTTCCGAGTCCATGGACACATCCATAAATTGTCACTGATAATATTGACTGACACTAGTAGAGTTAATAGTTATTAATTATTTTCAGGACCCTAAAAATATGGTGTTAATCACAGTGATGAGTTCAGACATTTTCCTTTTCATTTCAGTATGCGTCCCCATGATGAAATAATATTTGTAAGCTCATAGGAGATTTTTTTTTAGTGGGAATATTGACAATGATTTCTCATATATTTCCAGAAGATGTATTAAATTCAACAGGCAAGATTTGCCTCATTTTTATTGTACTTTGCCAATTGTTGAATAAGTTTTTGCAAATACAGAATTATAGATAATCTCTCCAAAGCCCTTGTCTCTTTATCTCTTTTATCTTATTGTCAATAATTTTAAATCATTGTCAATACACATACGAGGTCTGATCAAAAAGTATCAGGACAGGTGCTATAAAAAAAAAACAAACTATAACACATACCAATTCCGTATTTAATCTCCTTCAAAGTAGTCCCCTTCTGAAGGCACAGACATTATCCAGCACTGTTTTCATTGATGGAAGCATTCTTGGATCTTCTTTATTGGGATAGCAAGCATCTGCTTCATTGCATTCTCTTGGATTACTTGACATCTTAAAATCATTTTCATTTCAAGTGGGACTTAATTTTTTAAGAGTAAAAGTTGCAAGGAGTGAGATCTTGTGAATATCGCAGTTGTCCACTGCTTTGTGAAACTGACTCCTAAGAGGGCACTTCACTGTAATCCTCTATCTTGAGGGGTTCTTGGGCCTTGCACAGAGTGAACCTTAATGTAAAAAAATGTATCTTCAACCCCTGCTCCTATGTTTATTCACATTCCTTCCCTTTTTCTTCCTACCCACTTCATTCTCTCTCTCTTTTTTTTTCTCTCTTTCTATTCTCATGTCATTTCTCTCTCACTCTCTTTCTTAATTTTGCATATTCACTCTAAATCTTTCTTCTCAACTCCTTTTTTTACTTTAGTCTCTCTTTATTTTCCCTCCTTCTATTTTCCTGTCATTTCTCTCTGACTCTCTTTACCCTCTTCTTTTTCCTCCATCTTCATTCACATTCTTACTTCTTGTTTCCATTTTTGCTGTTTGCTTCCTTTATTCTCTCTTTTCTTTCCTCTCCTTCCATTCTTATATCATTTCTCTCTCTGTTGAGATGTTGGGAGAGTTCCCGCGTGTGTGTATTCAAATAAAGACAAACACAGATGTAGGGAAAAATACTGGTATATTTGAAGAGGTATTTAACAACAGAGTGATTAGTAATAACGAACGCAGGTTAGTAATAACAATCAGCAAGAGCCTACAGTCCAACGTTATCTTCCGGTCGAGAGACGGAAGTGCAATGGTCTTGTGATCTCCACAGAACGTCCCTGATCTCTCTAGCACTGACCTATATTGTAGAGAGATCAGTCCATTCTCCTCAGAAAGTGGGTGCGCCCCCCCCACCCAAATTGTTTGTTTACATTGCGGAAAAAAAATTTTTTTCAATATTTTTTCCTTTTTGGGTCCATTATAAATTATTGCGTCGCTTTTCACTTTCTACCAGATCTGCGCTGTTTTTGCTCTGTCTGTGGTACTTGTAAATCAAAAGTATCATATAGTTCGTATAATTCATCTTCTTGCGGAGTTTCTTCCGATTCTTTGGTACTCCTTTTCTTTAGCTGGTTGATGTGCCTTTTATGGGTAAATTTTTTCCCTTGTACAATGTACACCATATTCCCAATCCACTTTTGTATGACTCCTGGTTCCCATGATGTCGCATTATTTTTATAATTCTTGAAAAAAAACTTTTTCATTCTCACTTTCAATTTATTCCTTTCTTTCTATACATCCCTTTTTCTCTTTATCCCTACATTCTCTTCTCTTTCGTATCTATCAGTTTAATGTTTCACAGAACATTTTCCAATTTTTAAAAATATCTCCTAACTTACAAATGTTATTTCATCAAATCAGACAATTTCTTACCTGCTTTCACATTTTTGGGCTCCATACTGAAATGTGAAGAAAAATGTCTGAACTCATCACTGTCATCAACACCATATTTTTAGGGCCCTAAAAATGGTTAATAACTATTAGCACCACTAGTGCCGGTCAACATTATCAGTGATAGTTTACGTATGGAACCATGGACTTTGAGCAATTTTCTTTTTCCTAAAGTTCACTTTCAATTATTGTTTTTATTTAACTTTACCAGCCTTTTCAAAGACAGAAATACAAATTAGAATAATGAAGAACCTATACTGGCAGCAAACAGCATGCATGCACATAGAGAATGAGTTCAGCAAATATACAAAAACAGAAAGGGGTCTAAGGCAATGATGTGTCTTCTCACCAGACCTATTCAATCTATACAGCGAGGCAATTCTGAGAGAATTGGAAATCAGGATTCAGCCTCAGCAGCCACAATTTTAACAACATAAGATACACAGATGACACAGTACTGATAGCAGACATGGAAAAGAAATTACAAAATCTCCTACAGAAGGTAGTGACAGAGAGTGAGAAGAAGGGACTAAGCATAAACTACAAGAAGACAGAATGCATGGTCATCAGTAAAAGAATGCAATTTGCAGGCTGGGGACATTAAATCAAGCAGGTATGGAAGTTTAAATATCTGGGAAGCATCTTGACAGAGGACAGCAAGGACAAAACTGAGATCTGTAGATGTGGGAAAGCCAAGGACACATTCCAAAAGCTGGCAGAGTATTGCAAGACAGGAGGATCTCTTTGGTAACAATGAAAAGAGTACCAAGCTGCTACGTGACACCTGTCCTTCTTTACAGCATAGTGAATGTTGTATTGTCTCTTCAAAGATGAAGAGATGCAAGGCAATGGAGGTATGGTTCTACAGAAGGATGCTAAGGATATCATGGACTGAACATGTGATGTGAGCAATGATGAGGTTGTGGAGAGGATGCAAACAAGGAGGATGCTTAAACTTAACATCAGGAAGAGGCAGCTGAAGTTTCTGGAACATGTAATGAGAAAGAAGTGTTTGGAGAATCTGATACTCACTGGTCGAATAAAGAGAAAGAGAGACAAGGGAAAGCAATGCATGATATATCTGGTGGGCTTAAGCAAATGGATGTCAGAATGTGGTCTGGGGGAGAAACTTATTGAGAGCTAGGGATAGGAGAAGTGGGGAGCCATGATCACCTACGTCCTGAAAAGACATGGCACATAAAAATTCATCACTGTCATCAACACCATATTTTTAGGGCCCTAAAAATGGTTAATAACAATTGGCACCACTAGTGCCAGTCAACATTATCAGTGACAGTTTATGGCTGCAACCACGGGCTTTGAGCAATTTTAATTTCCTTAAATTTCAATTTCAATTATTGTTTTAGATTTTTTAACTCCATTTTTCTTAAGATGCATTTTTTTTATTTGTAAAAGTTTATAAACAAGATTAGAAAGAAAGTTTGAGAAATTGGGGGAAAAGGAAGGGGAAAAGCAAGTGAGGTGAAAAAAAAGAGTAAGGAAAGTGAGAGGGCAAGAGAAATCAAAAGAAAGGATAAAAAAGCCAAAAAAAGTATGAAAAGATAACAAATGAGGAAGAGATAAAATGAAAGATAAAAGAAGAGAAAGAAGAAAGGAAAGAATAAGTAAAGAAAGAGTGTGAGAAAAGAAAAAAGAAAGAAAAGAAGAAAGAAAAAACATAAAAGAAGGAAAAATTGAGAGGAAAAGAAATAGAGGAAAAGAGCAAGGGAAAGAAGGAAAAAACAATGAGAGAAAATCGAGAGTAAGAAAACAAAAACAGAAAGGGTAAATGAAGAAAAGAGTGAGAGTAATGGAAAAAGAGAGAAAGAAGTAAGATTAAGGGAAAGGAAAAAAAAGGATAAAAAAAAGAAAGAATTGAGAAAAAAAGGAAAGGATAAAAAAGTGTACTCTGTTGAGCCAAATACACATGCTGATTGGCATAATCACACCGGGACAAAATTTTGCTGAAGTCTATTGCACAAAATACACATGCCACTTGGAATAATAATCCTGGCAAAAATTTTGCTGATTTGTGTACTCTGCAGCACAAAATACACATTCCACTTGCAATAATAATTTTAGTAGAAATTTTGCAGATTTCTGTTCTCTGTTGCATAAAATACACATGCTGCTTGGAATAATCATCATGGTAGAAATTTTGCTGATTTTTGTACTCTTTTGTACTTTTTTGTGTACTCTTTTCTTTTACTCTTATTTTTATTTTGATCTTGAACAAAAACATCAACCTCTACCAAATGTTCCAAGAATTAGGACTGAAGATAATAGATTCCAAAATAGAAACTGATCTGGAATTGGAATGAGAACAGAGATGGCACCTATACTGAGTCACAACAATTTAGTATGTGGAATTAGTACATACTAAACCTTTCCAATACCTTGGTGTATAGGTCAAGTACAGGAGATAAGAAAATTGGACACAGAATAGGCTGCTGTGCTAGGAGTAGTTTCACTCAATACAGCAAGCTGCTACAAAACCAAAACATTAAAACATCATAAAATAGATTCATCAGACCGAGACTTTCATATGGATGCCATGTATGGCTTCAAATTTATTCAGAAATATCTAAACTGTCAGTTGTATACAACCACTTTCTCAGATCAATGGTTAAAAATGGCTTTGAGTAAATGAAGCCTGTACCTCTTAGTGAGGATTGTTCTTCTTCAAACATTGTGGACTGGAGTCACAGAATCACAAATAACGAAATGTACCAAATAACAAAAACCGCATCAATTAAGGATGTTCAACAGCAAGTAAAAATTGTTGGCACATGTAACTCAAAGGGGGGAAATAATAACATAAATTAAGATGTTGATATTTCACACTGCTTCAAACAAAAGATTATAAAGGAAAGCCCCATCAATACTGGAAAGAGCTATAACAGTTA